ACAAGACAGCTTCCTAAGCCCCGGGCAGGCATTTATCCGGCCGTGCGACAAGAGAGATGAGACACACACACACACACGCACACACACGAACGTAGCCACCACACCGCAGGAAGCAACGATGACACCATCCCCCGAAACTTAAGTATGGTTCGGACCAAGAGGGTAAGGTGTTGAGCTTCGTCTTGAGCCCTCTCCGAAGTGCGTTTGCCGTGGAGTCGTCGAAGGATCATGAAAGACCATCTCACCGCCGCTCCAACTGCCCACAGAATCAATGCAGTGATGTAGCGTGATTGGGAGGTTCGACATCGTTACAAAAATTCTTGGGCTGTGAGCTTGCGGAGTTGTCGTTTACCAAGTCCAAACATTAGTAGAGAGCCAGATCAAAACCGCGTCCAGCAGCTTATCTGGTGGTTTAGTTTAAACATTTTAACAATAGTTAAACTCCTGGACACCCCCCCGTTGCCCCCGTCCACAAAGTGGCTGTGCGGCATTTGTAGGTGGATGCCCGTCCCCTCCACCCCCTCCAGCTGTGTCAGCAGGTGTAGAATGCTTCTCGCGAAGTGCGTACACGTTGTCTCGACCTTGCAAGATCGGCACTTCTTTTGCAAGCAAAACTCGCAGGAACTGTCAGCATTTAGCAAAGGACTGTGGGTTGCCTTGGCTCTTTTGAGCAGATAACTGACCCACTAGGATTCGCTTGATGAGTCGCCCCACCCTTTCCCTGCCGCGCTTCCTTCCCTTAGCTTTCGTGGCCCTCTTCTCAAGTCCGCTTTGGGCTGTCCCGCTGGCACGCAGTGATTTAACTGTTGATGGAACAGACAAGACTCTGACGTTTGGCTCCAAGGCTGGAGGTGAAGATCACCGATTTCGGTTACGCGAAGGACTTTGGTCTTTGATGCCTCGCTGCTTAGTTGAAGAAGCTCCACCTTGTGTGCAGCTGGTGGACGACGGCTACAGCACTGCACTGACCCAGGCCTGCGCGTGCATTTTTGTTGCGCAAAAGGTTTCGTGATGATATGCCAGCCTTGCCATTGGCAGGTGGGGACCCCCCAATACTGGGCACCCGAGGTGAAATCCGCTGCATGATTCATGTTCAAAGCGGAGTCTGTTCTGCTGCAATGCAGGTTTCGGATGCTGGCATGTGTGCAAAAGGCTACGACGAGCGAGTGGATGTCTGGGACTCATGGGCGTCGTTTTTGTTCTCATGGGCGTCGGTTTTTTCTACAAGATTTGCGTTTGCGGTCGAGAGACTGGCCAAGAGATGGAGAGCTACCAAGCAAGATTTCCCAAGCTTGTCTTCCCACATTGCGCAAGAGTCAAAGAGTCCTTGGTGCCAGCTTTGGAGTCTGGGCGTGGTGCTCTACGCTCCGGCCTCAGTCCTGCAGCTGCATTGTAGCCGTTCGGGTTTGTTTGTTAACGTCGAGGATTGTATGTGTGAAGGTCATGCTGGAGGGTGTGTACCCTTTCAGTGGCGAGGAGCAGATCAAGCAGGACCGGGCGGAAGACGGTGGGGTTTCCTGCCATCCTGGCCGACGCGAGGCCAGCTTCAGGTTTCATCGACCAACCTCGTCGAGGGCCCGGGGCTCAATACATGCATCTGCCATCAACATTCTGAAGCTCAACCTATTTCGCATAAACGTCAGAAATTCTATGCGTGCGATCTTGAGTGGGTGAGCGAGCGAGCAAGTGAGTGAGTAAGTGAGCATCCGTGAATGCGTCAACGAGCATCCCGGAGTACGTGCTGTTGGTGGATTCTCGAGCTGACGCGCTAGCAAACCTTTCCCAATTATGCACGATAACATAAATGCCGTGACAGGGTGAATTTTACTGTCGATTCGACCCTTACTCTGCGTGTCGTTTTGGTTCCATCACACCCTCGTCAAGCCAGGCTAAAGACCTGATCCGCGCCCTGATCCAAGTGCGGTCGGAGGACATCGATGCTGCCTAGCTGCGCGAGTGGAACACCGCCTGGTTTCGTGAATAGAGATGGCGCATTCCCCTCGCAATACTGACGCAGAAGCGCTGCATTTTATTTGTGGACGCCAGCACTTCCGAATACGGCAGCAGCACGCAGGACCGACTTGGCTTGGATGATTGCTTGAAGCACAGCTGGATCCAAATGGACAGTCGCTCGGCTTCGTGTCTCGGATGCAGCAGGAGGAGCAGTACAGACTCTAGTACAGACCACACGCTATCAATCAATCAATCAAACTATGTATCTGCCTATGCTCAGCCATGCAGGAGGCAAAAATGTATCTGCCTATCTATCTATCTATCTATCTATCTATCTATCTGTAAATGTATGTGTGAGGGTGAGTGAGTTTATGTCTTGTTGCAAGCTGGCGACGGCTCAGGGCGCTGAAGCCTAGCTGTCTGGAGGCTTTTGCTTGAATGTCTGCTTGGAATCGAAATCGCACTGGTTCTTCTCGCCATCTAAGTCAGGGCGAGATCGAGTGCTTTGACTTAGACGGCGAGCCCTCCAACGTGGTAGAGCTCCGACGCGAGTTGCAGACCTCCAGCTGCAAAGTAGCTGCAAGCCATGTGCGACCGCAGTGCGCGAGTGTGAGTTTCTGCATGTGTGTGCCATCAGATTTGCGACTAAGGAAGTTCATGACCAGGTTCAAGGTTTCCGCGCAATTGAAGAAACGCCAGGCCGGGGATATGCGGCATCTGAGCGCCAACAGCTGCCATTGGCCATGGTGCAGTCCTGAACATGCCATGTATGATCATGCTGCTAGAGGTGGAGGTGACGTGGTCCAAGAACGTAGACAGAGAGGCATCGCACCGAACTGACTCAGTGCTGTGAGCCGATGGACGTTCGCCAGCATGTCTTCCAGGCGGCACGCGGCGCGCTGCTGCAAATCCTGCGATTTTCTCAGAACCCGAACGCAGTGTCAGCGGCGGGGCAGAGGGCATCCCACATCTTGGCGCAACCTCGAGCTACTACGTCCGATGCAGCGTGTATCGTGTGGCAAGACAGTCAAGCTCTAGTGGGGTGCTGCAAGATAAGTGCAACCTGGATGGACTGAGGCAGTTTCGACCAGGCCGCCGAGGTGCAATCTTTGTGCCAGCTGCCCCTTGCAGGAGGATCTACGGCGATAGTCTGTTGCAGGTTATCCGCCAGAGCCCGGTCGAGCTCGGGCCACAGCTGTGATTCAATCAGCAGCCCATCTCGGATGACCTTCTTGAGGCGAGTGGGATCAACGATGGAGCCGCAAAGCACACCCAAGAGAAAGTGGCTGGAAGCCGAGGTTGTGGCTGTAACTTACAGCATCCACCATTCTTGGATCTGCATAGAATTATCAGGGCCGTATGTTCTGGGAGCCTGCCAACACACGTGTCCCCCTTCGACTGTAGCCAGGCTGCGTGTCAGTCGTTTCCGAGTGTGTTGAGGCAAGAGAGCCAGGTACAAACGCTCGAGGTTCGAGGGGTGGCCCATGTAGAGTCTTGGAGTGCCGGCCAAACTCTCTTGCAACCTGCCGTGGACGCAGGGACCGCCGACCTGGATGTTACCCTGAACGTTCTCGAGGCTTTACGGCCTTCCTACAGACCCAAGGTGTGTGCTCTTCTCTTCGCCTTCCAAGGGCAAGGCCGGTTTGGACTTGCAGCCGATGCAGCAGCCTCAGTTCGGGCGTGTTCGTCTGAGCTTGCGGGATGTCGGCACTTCTTTGTTATCTTGCCGGGAGAGGGCGGAGGATCTCCTGTCCTACTGTACTACTGGTAGGGTATCCTGGAAAGGTATTGCTTGTGTTTTGCTACCAGCTTCAGCGAACCAGGCGATCCTACCTCTCCCCAAAAAGATAAGAACGAACACCACGGTCAGCTTCGGAAGTCCACCCCATGAACTGCATGAGCGTGAACCTGGTCAGGCCTTTCCTTGGCATGCGTGTTCGGCAAGGATCCCAGAACTCCCATACTGCGATCCCCGGCTTTGTCATGCTTTCCGCATCTTTAGGAAAGTCCAAGATGAGCCAGGCACGACTCAAGGGCTGTCACAGCAATCGGGTCTCTGTCTCACAGAACGCAGGCCAGGGCGTGCTTGAGGGAGACCTCATCGTCAAAATTGATCAGGCCTCCCGCATGCTTTTACCAGCTCGTGCTGCATCCATGCATTCGCCCACTCCCCGTTGCGACCGGGCCGTGGCTTCGACCGTTCGAACACGTACAACTCCTTCCCACAAGACCCCCAGATGCAGAGAAGGCAGGCGAAAGGCGGGGAGACCCCGGCGCCTTCTTTAGTGCTCTGCTGCGGTGCAGAGGAGAGGGTGGGAGGCGAAAGCAGGAGGACGAAATGGTTTGGAAAGACTCCGGCGAACTTGCGCATGCTTCGCAAGCAGACCCTCGAAAGTCACTGTACACCTTTCTTGTCCTACCTCTGTCATTCATGTTCCATGCGCCTCGCAACCTGTGACGCCAAGATCGAATGTCATGCACCTACCGCCTATTGATACGATCCTGTCGCAGCTCGGTCGCGAAGAGACTGGACTCGACCCGGCTCGCGTGCCACATGCCAGGTCTCGTTGGCGCTCTCAACTGTTGGGGAAATTTCCAAGGCTAACGTCCTGTTGTCAAACATTCAGCTGTTGAGCCGCAAGCTGCAGCCTGGGAAGCTTGAGGTCTTCGGAACTCACTTCCGAAATGGCGCTTGGAACTTAGCTACACTTGTATTGCGTAAACTTACGGTTTGCCTAGTGCTGAGGCAGCTCTTTCTGTTCATCGCCAGGACAAAGTCTGTGCCCCTTGTCGCGCTACTTTTTACCTGACCGGCTGCAAGCACGGTTAGATTAGATGCGTCCCTCGGCTTTTGGGGCACTGAGGCATAACTCCTCACAAACTTGGACCTGCTCATCGAATCACACGAAGACCAGTTGCGCCCACGCATGTTTCAGAAAGAAGCCGACAGCTTGCGGCCAGTTTCGCACCAGTGACAAGTTTCCGCTGTAATCATCTGCCGATCTGACGTGCTTGGTTCAAGCGTTTTCGACCAAACTCAGAAGAGAATGTCTTGGGCGGTCCAGCTGTGGCTACAGCTGCTATCATTGTGTCAGTGCGACGACTGGATCTTTTATGATCTGGGTTCAGAAGACCTGACCCCGGATGATGGTAAATGGTGTCAAGAGCAGCTGCCCAGCACCTGCATCGCCGATTTTCATATTGGGCGCGCTGAGTTTAGCCAGCAGCATCGGGAAGCCCAGGAAACCTTGAAGCACCTTAGGGAAGGGGCTGAGGACTTCAAGGCCAACCAGCCGACGCTCCGTTGCATTAGAGCCCGCCGAAGCCCAAGCTGCTTTCCTCATTTTGCGGTCGCAGCCAAACGGTTCACACAATAGTAAGGGCAAGCAGGTACTCGTAGGCAGAGGTTCGCTCCATGCCACGTGGTTGGTCTGCGTGTTCTTCTGATGCTTTATCACCGGTCCTTCATGGGGTTCTTTGGCCTTCATGTACCGATGAATGCAAGGCATCGAGCACGGCAGTCCATCAACATTGAGCAAAACTTCCAACCTCCTGTGTTGCCACTTCGAGTATGTAGCAGTGCCCGACAGAGCTCAGGTTGTCGGTGCGCCTGCTCGTGCTGGTCACTACCGTATGGCCGAACTTCCAGCGGCGGCAGCTCCTTCGCCAAGGAATGACCTGGTGCCGACGCGGTTTGGGAGGTCGCGGGAACGAGGTCGTTTGGCGGTTTCTGTTGGGTGACCTGCCCGGGGAGCACCCCGAGAAGCACCCCTTGCTGCAGAAAGCCCTTCGAGAAGCTGAGGCAAGGCATGGCATTCTTTACCAAGAAATTACATGGACTTAGTGCAGCTTATGCAAAGGTGCTAACTGATGCGCTCATTGAAAATCGGTTCCCGTATGACGGGACCATCTCGCCATGCCCCTCTCCAAGCCACGAAGGCGAATGATTAACACGGAGCCGTGCATAGGCATCTTAGGACAAACTATACATTCGGTCGCTCTCGCAAGAAAATAGTCCCCAAGCCAGAGCCAGTGCTCGCAATGACAGCATACACGCAGAGATGGAAAGCGCAGCAAGCAAGTATCGAAACAAAAGTGGACATACTCTTGGGAGGCATTTGGGGACCTCATGTTGGTTGGCGGTGCTGACGAGATCCAGTATCGACACATCGGCGATGCCTACGTCTTGCCGGAGGCCACAAGTCGCTGTAAATAGTCTGAAATTACTTTAACAAAGTCTGTAACATTCTGCAACCATGGGCAGCCAGCTGCATGAATGCACTTTTGGCGAAGGCAAACCCGGAGCTGTGGAAGCTGCTCGTGGCTTTGCGACGGCTGCGGCATGAGGTTAGCTACGACTACCTTTTGGTGGCCGACGACGACAACTTCATTTCTCTCACCACTGCGGTAGAGCTGCTGGAGATGCTTCCGCCCACGAAGGTCTATGTCGGAAACATGATTGACACCGTTCCACAGCGCTTTGACATGCAAAAGCGTCGTATCGTTCAAGAGACGAAACTTGGCATACAAGATTGGTAGAAGCGTCGAAGCGCAAGTGACCCATGCCCCAACCCTGCCGTGTTGTGCCAGGAGCGTGAACTTGTACATGGGGTCTCCTTCGAAGCTCCCTATTTTTGCGCATGGCTTGGGCTTCATAGTGTCGCAGGATTTGGCAAAGCTGCTCGCCGACCGTGGCTTGTCATTCAAGCTACGAGGCAACGACGACATGCTTGTCGGTCTTTGGCTTCGGAGCATTGCAGATGTCCGGTTCCTGCACTACCATATCTGGTTTCACGATCATCACGAATTTGGAGGCCTCTTCTCACGGCCATGTCAGCAGGATGCTGTGATTGTGCATCGCATGACGGAGGAACGCTGGAGAACCTTCGACAGATATGAATGTCACGTTTGTGGCAGCGAGAAGCCCGTGGCAGAAGCCCTTGCTTTGCTGAATCCGTTGGAGCCTTCTCCGGCGGAGCTCGTCGTTGACCTGGAGGAGCTGCCTGAGGTAACCGTTCAGGAGCTAGCAAGACTGGGGCGAACGCAGCAAGAACTCAGGAAGCAGAGAAGCAGAGAGATCTATCACTTTCCCCTCAAGTTAGCGATCTTGATCTTTGGCTCTCGCTGGCAAGATTTTCGGTTGCGTGCGCAGTTGCGACGTGCCCTGAGCCTCATGAAGTACAATCTGGGATCCAAGTCTTCAGAGTCTTCGGGAAAGGCCCTTCAGGCTGATTTTCAGTGGCTCTTTGTCATGACACGGCTTCTACCAGACACTCGTGTGCATGCTGCATATCGGGAGATTCTCGTGCACCGGGACATGATGCGCCTCGGGCCTTCACGGCTCCCTAGATCAAGCCAGGCTGCACAGAAGGCCGGCAAAGTCCGCAAAGAGCACGAGATCGGCTGCTACCGCTACGAGGAAGCGTGGCGCTTGGTTGAGGAGCGCTGGGGAGGAGCAGACTTCGTGCTCCTTCTGGACCACCGCTCCTATATCAATGTCCCCCAGCTTCTGGCCCACATGCCCCGCTGGCCTCGACATCGGTCCACACCTCAGGATTGAGGATTGCGCATGGGATCTTCAGCTGTGCTAGCTGCTAGCTGCCAGCACAGTGTTCAAACCGCAGGCTGATGCATGGCGTACTTCTTGATGCTGCTTGCCTGCACAACTGGCAGTCCGGCAGTTTCATTAAGAAACACCTTGCTTCAACAGCTTGTCGGCTAGTGAAAGGTAATGTTCTTGCATTAAGTTTACTGTCGCGACGATCGGGCCAGTTGGGTTTCACTCTGAATGCAGGGAGCGCAAGTCTCGCCGTGTGTTGTCTGGCCCCTTGTGGTGGTTTGTAGGTTTGTTCAGCCACACAAACCGCGAACAGCCGTAGCCACTAACGGAGACAACTCGTCCAATCTGTCAGGTTATGCATGTCAACGCTCGCTTTATCTCGAGGCTATCGTGCATTGCCTGTGCAGCACCTGCTAGTGCTGAAGTGTGCTCATATGTACCACTTGGTGCAGGAGTGTTAGAAGGAAGGAGCGGGGCGGAGTGCCCTCTTGTAGCAGCGTGTGACGTGTGACCCAATTAAAACCACACTCGCTGAATAAAGCCTACACCAGGCTAAGCCGGTGCAGAAAACACACCGGTGGGGAGAGCCAAGCAGTCCGAAGCAGTTAAATTCAGAGGGTTTCGGAGCCTGCTCTTGTGCAAAGGAGTCCGTATTCGCGGGAGAGAGGCGGATGTACTTGTGGCGACGACGTGCAGCGGTCTTCGCGCATGGCATGGGCATTGTTGTTTCTGCCGATGTGGCACGATTTGTTGCGGAGCTTGCGCTCGAAGCAGATGGCTTGTCACAGGCTGGTTTCTGCGATTCCAGGACTTTGGAGATCCGGGTGTCGTAGCATGGTTTTATGATTTCGTTTTGGATTCTGGACTAGGCACTTTGGAATGCAGGGCACGACGATAAGTGATGATCTGTTTCGCGCCGTTGCAAGCATGGACTGAAAGCAGGCCCGGTCAAGTCCACCAGATTCGAGGCCAATCGAACATGCAGAAAGCTAGTTAATGCAATAGGCACTTTGTCGGGGCAGCACTCGAGGAACGTGAAACCACTGTTCTCTACAACCGGAAACTGATCAAGTCGCCAAGTACAGGTATCGGCAGAGCCGGATGGGGTTTCCAACCGCCAGGTGGACGTCCCGGCTGATGTGGCCTTCGGTCAGTGGGTGCAACTTCTCGAAGACATGGAGTACTCCCCGGCTGAGGTAGGCTGCAGCAGAAGCACCCTCATGTGGAATTGAACTGCCGATGCAGAAGTCATGTCGTAGAGTAAGAGTGGCCTTGGCAGGATTTTTGGGAACTTCCGATAAGCGCATCGTCACTGGCACTATCTGCAGACATGACTCTTGCTTGGCCCATGACGTTGGGACACTGGCGATCCTACAACGCCACGGATTCTGCGCGGGCGCCTGCTACCAAAGCAAGCTCTGTGACGCTGGACATGGACTGTTGGAAAGGTATGGGCGGACGAGCAGAATCCTGGTACCTTGTGTGTTGTGACCTTGGCTGGTCTGGATGCTGGGGTGGTGAGTTCACGGCGGAAATGTGCTGCTCGCAAGTGCCTGGAAGAGCGGGTGCGCCGCCTTCAGCAGAGCCTGTGCTTCTGCAAAGGTTTCTTAATTTTGATGATGACGAATTTACATTGTTCTTGCAAGCCCTGGATCACAACCATACACAAGATCAAGTCGGGAGAGGGCGCTTCCGCTGTTTAACTCCGCAAGACTGTGGTAAAGAGGCTTTTGCAAGGTTTTACCAAGCAAGCTGGGAGACTGGGATCCTTCCACTTCGTCATCCATGGTTTATGGATGTGGAAGATCATTTGTTTGGTGTTATCTGGAAAATGCGGGCAGAAAATCGCGGCGGAAACCCTGCAGGCCATGAGCACACCTTCGAGCGCAAGCAAATGGCAAAGTTTCTGCAGCATGTGTCTGAGACTGTGTCTGCGGATGAGATCTTCGTGGAACACGGGGCGAAGAAGCTGCTCGTTCAGCACTACCCGGCAATACCCTACATCACTAGCCTACGTTATGTCCAGAGTGCACTGTGCTTTCGCCACAACTGAGGCTGCGGCGATGTTTGGAGTGGGATTCTGGCGCACAGAGTCGTTTCTACTTCTCAAAACATTGCGATGTGGTTGACGTAATTACTTATTTCGGCGATGGACATGCTCAGCTTCGGGTCAACGCGGACAGTGAGAAACGCGATTATTTCTTGGACATCCACATAGCTGACCAGGTCGTGCCCGAGAATTCTACTGGCTTGGTGATCTGTTCACAGGTCTTTGAGCATTTGCTCAAGCCGTGGCTTGCGATGCGGCAGCTCTACCGACTGTTGGGCCCAGGCAGGATGTGGCGACGGATGAGCAATCTGCTAACAGCGCATGAAGTTGAATTATAGGGTTGCGCGCTTCGCCTCGCCTCGCCGAGGTGGGCTGCTTGCATGGTCCGCCCCACTCTTCAGCCAGATCCACGGATCTCCTCAGGACTTCTGGCGCTTCACCCCCGAGGGAGCCAGGACCTTGGCCGAGGCGTCCGGAAGCCAAAAAAAACACATTTCCTTATGCGTGCATCCCCCTTGATTGCATTGCTACTGATGCTGCCGCTGCCGCCTTCTTTCTTTCTCCTTGTTGTGGTTTCGGTCGCTTTTGAAATTTTCGTCCTCAACACAGTCGTCCTTTGCTGCCGTCCAGGAGGCCGGCTTTGAGATCGTAGAGATTTGGGCACCGGGCACTTTGCGAGAGCTCGCCGGCTACCTGTTAGGCCTCACAGCGCCTTACTGGACCGAGGATGCAATCATGGGCGGTGCATCCGATTGGCCTTTGCAGGTCTACATGCTTGCCCGTAAACCGGCATAGCAATACCTCGGCTTTTTGTATAAAGTCCGATGACGGCTGCGCCTTGCAGATGCTGCAGGCCCTGCAAGAGGTGAAGCACCAGGGCTCTCAGGAAAGCGTCGGCGCAGTGTTTGAGCTCTGCAGCTTTGGCGTGGATCGTGGTGTCGACTAGCCTTTGCAGCCTTCGCAGATCTTCGCAAGGAAGCTGCTTCTGCTGACCTTCCATGACATCTTCATGGATGGGTGATCATTCCACGGCATCTTGCAGGAACCACATCATGCAGATAGCCTGGCTCAGATAGACGTGCCACCGCTGTGCGCTGCTAGACACGATGCTGTCATGCTCAGTTGCTCAACTCACGGGAAAATGGAGCAAGTGTGCCCAGCACAATCTGTCTCTCTTGCGGGCGAGCCGGGGTACAAGTTTTTTCGGCTTCAGGCAACTTGGTTGTGATCTGCGTGCATCTCGCATTTACCAGTTCCAGCGCGGTCTGGTCACTTCTTGCGGATTCAGACCCTGTCGTAACTGTGGCCCAGCTGGCGTTCGTTCCGTCTGGTATCCGTTACGCGTTGCCGACCTCGCGAACTCCACAAGCTTCCGTAGCTCGGCAGACACATGTATGTACAAAAACAACATGCTCGCGCCGCATCAGGGCTTCTAGCCCGCCCTGGCTCACAAGGCTCAGGGTTTTAACGGGCAAAGCCCCTCTCCCAGTGTGAGTCTAGTGCAGTAGGTCAGACTTTAGACGTTAGAAGCCTATGGAAGGCACGCAGTTTGTACTTCGAGACTTCCAACACACCTGCTGCTCCCGAGTGGATGAAATCTTGAAGACCGGACGAACATGTCAGGCGATTGCTCGGAGTGGAGGGTACCGAGATCGAAGAGGAGCCCTGGGGTGTATGTTGTGAGAGTTGCACACATTCTGGGCGTTAAGCATTTTCTCGGCCAGTCTTTGACAGGCCGCACCGCCGACGAATTCTTTGTCCAACTTTGTCAGTTGCCAATGGCGAGCAGGCCGAGTTCTGCCCACATGAACTGATTCGAATTATGTAGTCGCGTATCGAAACTGGACCCACAGCTTAAGCCAGTCTAGTGTTCTCGAAGCTGTCGAGTCTAAGAGATTCTAGGAGAAGCGTGCACAGAAACCACGCGTTCGACAGGTGCTGCGTGATGGCAGCTTGCCCAAGCTGCATGGTCCTCGTAGCCTGCCTCTTCAAGATCGAGTCTCAAGTAGCGAAACATCACCAGGCCCATGCAGCGATCTTTGCAGCCCTGGCCTCATTGAAGTGCAGCGCAACATGGCTGGGTAGCATGGTGTGTAGGCACAGGACGCTGCCTAGGATGGGTTGGACACGTGCCACACACGAATTCACGAGAGAACCCCTTCAAAAGCTGGCCGGAAACATATCGAACTCAGGGATTTTGCTGACGGCATGCTGTCTCTTTTTCTGGGAATCGGCAAAACTTGACCAGAACAACTTCTGTGAACTGGAGCCGAACTCTGGCATGCAGGAGTCGTGCCCCGCTAGTAGTGCTTGTCTTACTAGGCTCAACTCAGCCGACCACGAGTTTGCGCTTGTCAGCTCCTTCTCGCTTCCCCTCCTGCCTGAGACACGCCATGGTCAGAAAGCAAGCGCTTTTCGGCACAGTAGCCAAAGCGAATTTAGTTACTACAGCTCCAAGCGTCATCAAGCAACTAACCTAGTCCCTAATACATCCTAAGACAGACGATAAGTTAGTTGTCCGTCTGTGCAGGCATAATTACGTGCAACAAGCAATCGCAGTTGCTGCACTATTGTGTCGCAGCTTCTGCAAGCGGCTTCTGAAGCTCAGTAGTGCCGTGCTTGCCAGCTCCTTGTTCGTGGCGTCTGCTAAGGCCAAGTCCGAGTTTGCCCCTGTCCGTGTGCATCAGGCGCCGTGCCTGCCGTACAAGCATTTAGTCAACCGTGGTTTCACCTCGTCCATCGGTTGCGTATTGGCCTAGCACCCATACTGCCCATGCTGACCCTAACCTAGTGATGGCAGGGTTCTGTACTTCGCACACGATGGCACCCAGGCGGAGCTGGCAAAACATTGCAAGCTAGTGGAGTGTGGCAATCGAAGCCAGGCCGACACCGGTAACTTGCTGGAGCTTCAAGTCTCCACCTCCACGACCTGTGAGGCAAAACTGAAATGTGATTTTCTTGTGTGCTGGCTGTGGATCCCAGTGCTGAACTTTTCAGGTCTTGCTGCGGCACGTCCGTGAAGCGGTGGGCTGCGGCGAGAAGGGCCGCCTGCTATTCCGCGTTGCTTGGCGGCAAAGTTGAGATGCCGCAAGACTGGAGATCAGGAGATCGACTGCCTAAAATCTTCCGACACCGCTAGAGGTCTGTGTCTATGTGTGCACGTCATATATCGCTGGTGCGATCGAACGTTTTCTATAGTACTATACAGTGCCGCCATCTCGCAAGCATCTCGACGTGCACAGAAGAGATCGTGCCGACACTGCTCGCGCATGTTGCCAGAATGATGCTGGTAGGGCATGGTAGTAGCAGTTGTAGCATGAAGTTGGCATCTGAAAAGATCATGACGGGTATGACGTGTATGCTCCCAGATGCGCCCGCTCGACGCCAATGCCACGTTGGAGTCGTGCTTAGTTTGAAACATGCCTGGGTCTGCACTACTTGCCATGATTCGCCATGTGCATTGTCGTGAGGAAATGAGTGGCATCCACAAGGATCCCAAGGTTCGGCTGGGAGAGCCGAAGAAGCGGCATCTCTAAACCCACGGCGCTGATTGCATGTGTCGACTGCCGAGAGATCTCTCGGGTGAGCTTTGCGAGAGGCGCTGCACTTCCTGTTGAACCGGAAGCATCGGCCGCCTGAGGCGGACCAAAAACCGTTTTTATGCGCTTTGCTTCCTCTTATTGATTCTTACCGCTCGCGGTCTTCCTTTTGCCTTTGGATGCCTTTGGGAGACACCGAAACTTAGGCTGGCAAGCTTAACACCTCTGTCTACATTCTCTCCCCATCGTCATCGGGTAACATTCCAGAATGCAACATGACAGAACTATCAGACCTGCCTGAGGTGGTCGAGCGTGCCAACCGTGAGGAGGGGTTTGAGTGTTGCACGTTAAACGCATGAACGGCCACGGCCATCCCTGCGGAAGGCTGCTGAGCTGTCTGCAGTTGCGGGCCTAGCAAAAAAGGGACCAAGGCAGTTCCTCTTGGCAGATCGCCACGTTTTCTCGAGGCCATGGCTGTAGCTGCTGCCGAAGCAGCGGCACGGCCCCGCCGGCGGAGGCGCGTTGGCGCAAGTCCAGTGACCTTGGATAGGTGTGACGCCGGTGATAACATCCCCACATGGAAGCACGGTAGAGACGTCCTTTCGAAGCCGGTTGGAAGGCAACACCCGGTTGTGGGCCCAGCCCCTTGCGTGCAAATGAAGACGAGAGGCAAAGCCCAAGACCTGCTTCCACCGGCTCTATGCAGAGTCGGAGCCTGAGGAGTGCCTTTCTCGGACAGTGGCTATTCTGCAGCGTGCTGTTTTCGATTTTCAGCGGCTCAGGTGACCCACCTCAGCTTACATGATTGCTGACCAAGTCAGCACAGGCAGCCTTCGCTTCGGATGGATCCTGAACGCGTGTCAGAGCATCTTGTAACATACTGCATGCTCTATCTATTCTGCCATGACCAGCTGTACAGATATGCGGTCAGGTGAATTTGGCCTGATATGGCCTACTAGCTTGAGACGCGTGATATCGCGTGGCTCGAAAAATCATGGCTAGGCGGAATCACCACGACGCCGAAGAGAAGAAGCTTACCTACGGTGCAGTTGCATCGGGGATCAACCTGCACATGCCCGATGAAGCATCACTGATCCTGAGCCCAGTGTGGCTCTCGCTCAAGGCCCTGTGCAATCATAGGCCTGCACCCTTGCAAACCCTGGAGGACAAGCGCTGGTCGCAACAAGCGGACCAAGTCATGCCAAGTGTTCACAAAAAATGCCAGAGCTTATTGTTCGAAGCTAATCTGCGCTCTTTAGCTTTGTAGCCTGGCCATTTTCCGGCCATGCCATTTGGGCGCTTGCTTCGGAAACGCGTTTGCTCGCGATTCCGCAAGTTCGGCAAGGCTGGGCCTTCGGTCTTGTGGCACATGTCTCCGAGCAGCACGTGATGCTCGCAGCAGTCCATGCCAGCCAGCCTGCAGTACTGTGAGCTTATCAACCTTCGAGTATCTTGTCTTCCTAACGATGACGTGATGCTGCGGAAGGCTGGGCTGCACGGCGCATGAGGCCGGCAGCTCCTCATGTCGAACGAAACGGGGTTGCTGTAAGCCGCAGGTGGTTCGTCTATGCCGGCCGATCCCTGGCCTTTGCCAAACCCGGGGCCCAGCAGCGGAAGCTTTGATTTGTCTGCATCCCAGAGCTTTCCATGCCACCTGCGTGGGAAGACCTCCCACGGACTCTTCGTGTTGTTTGCGCAGGGTGGCACCCGATGAGGGACTGGGAGCCGGCACAGGCCTGCGCTGCTGCAACGCTTAACAATGCCTGAGAACAAGACACTGCTGCACAGGCATTAGCCGACAGGTGCAGGGAGTGACTCGGCAGACCTTACGGTATTCTAGTAGATGGGCTCGCGCCTGGGTGTCGATGTCGCATCTAAGGATGTGCCTGTTTCGGATGCTGAAAGGAGTCCGAGGCTTGAGACCCAGAGCTGCATTGGCTTTCACCCCGACGTAGTTGGCAGCCATGATGCAGGACAAAGCGCGCCCCGAAGGAGCCTCGTATTGACCTGGCAAGATGAGCATGTCATACAGAGTTTGCAGTTGCAGGAGATGCCATCGCGCTTCAGGTCAGGTCGCTAACAGAGATTGCTAGCTTGGCCTTGGCGGAATGCAGACCTGTGCACCATGAAGCAGGGTTTCAGCTTGCAGGTGCAGTATCTGCGGGACATGCATTGCCTCGTCACGGCCTTAAGAATGCCTTAAGATGATGCAGTACCAAAGGCTGCCAAGGAGCTGCTTTTCTGTAGTCAGCGCTACTCACCGCCACTCCTAGCGCAGTGGCGGAGGTCGGAAGGCTTCGTCGAGGCCAGGGATGATTCCTTCGTGCAAGGAGCTCAGTTGAGAGTTTGTAACCTGAAGCTTCGATTTCTTATGGCACATATCGTCAGCTGCATACCGGTACCGTCTCCTTGAAGGTTTCGGAGCTTGCAGCCGGGCGGCGGAGAGGCAGTCGAAGTCGAAGGCGCCAAGTTGGCACATCCGGAGACCTTCCCTGAGGCTGCCGGCCGTGTGGTCTGCCGTGAATGCGACCAGGCCCTGGGCTTCAGGACCGCAAAAACTGGTGATGCGCGTCATAGCGTATTGAGCCAGTGGGGACAGGAGCGATGGCTTGTTCTTCCTGCGAAAGGATACTGTGGAGCAGAGGCGCGACGGAGATCGTGCAAAGTGATGCAGACGCCAAGTAACTCAGCAATGGTACAGGGCCGAAAAGCTGGAAGTCCTGGTCACTCTGCCCTGTTTCTGCTTTTGTGACAGCTGCTCACTTCAAGCCTTCAAGCTCCTTTGCTTTGCTTCTCACTTGTCCCGTGCCGCAGGTGTGTAGCTTGAAGCTGCAAGAGATCAGTGATGTGAGCACAGTGCCCGGCGTGTTTGGTTGTGTAGGATCGAAATGGATCGAATTGACCCGAAACTGGACACACCTTTCTAAGGTCCTGTGCTCGCGGACATCTTTCCTTACAGTAGTGTGAGGATCTCGGAGTCGTGAGGTGCGGGTGCTTGTTGCAACACGCCCGGCCAGAAATTCGGGACAGACTGATGGCTGATGAGACCAGGCAGACATAGTCAATCCCTTGGCGACTCCTTTCGTCAATTCGCCTCCCTCGCACCAGCAAGTACATATTCCATAGCGAAACATGCTGACAGATGGCTTGAGGCCGGTGGCACTCGCAAACGAACGAAGAACCGTGGACTAGACTGATCAGACTGTAGCCGTAACCCGCTGGCAGATATATTCCCTCCATAAGAGCCTGCGCATATGCCTTCGGTATCTGCTGAAACAAGCTAATTCAATGGAGCAGATAACCGTCATGTCGCAGACACTTGTAGCCTTGTAGCTGCTGCAAGTAAACTAAAGCTTCGACGTTGCAGTTCTCTCAAGGCGAAGCTGATGTGACATGCTTCGGAGCTAAGGTTCAGGAACGACTGCTGCAGAAGGCAGAACTGCGTGGATTTGCATCTCTCCCAGGAAAGCCGCACACCCAGCGCCGCAACGTTTCTGTCCGAAAGGGCGGCTCCGTCAGGAATGATCCTGACTACTGTAGCATACTGCTGAAGGCCGGACTTCGTGGTGGTGGTCCACCGCAACGAAGGCCCACAGCCTCAGTTGATCGCCTGTGAGGCTGTGAAGGTTCTACCCATTCCTCGTCTCCCAAGCTGTTGTCTGCGATATTAAGGCCGCGCTTTGCTCACAGACCGCAACGGCTTCTACCACGATGCTGCATCTCAGAAGATGGATTGCTGTTTCGATCCACTCGAGTGCATCCACCTTTGCTTGTTGGAGTTAGGTGTTGGGATGTGCTTACAGACAGACCCGCGGGAACGTGCTGGTGTGACCGGCTGTCCCTTCGGTTTTGGCGCTTGTCTTTTGATGTCTTTCCCTGAACTGTTGTTATGCGGCCAGGTAGTCCTGACCCGTGCAGAGCCGAAGGCCGGCATACATGAGAACATGATCACTGCACCGGAAGCTGTTGTACGCGTCACGGCCTCAAGTCGATGGCAGGCGGAGGCGGACTTATTTGACAAAGTCATGCTGCGGTCACTGCAGCGAGCCTAGTGGGCCTCGTGAGTAAGGCTAGTAACTTAGTAGCAGACCATGGAAGCACTCTTGAGGAGGTGCCCCCATAGCCCATAGCAATGGTTCCCAGAAGCCGCAATCCCTGTTCCAGCTCGTCAACGAAAGAAATTGATGGAGGGCTGCTGGAAAGAAATCGCGAGACTGGAGATGAAGTGCTCCACAAGACGATGTGTTGTTGAAACTTGGAGGGAGGGCTAAGTTTCGTTTGCAAGAAGGACTCCCTCCACGCAGCGCAAAGACTCGGCAATATCTTGTTGACGAGAGGCCGTGCTCCACATTGAATTTGAACGGGTGATGCAGTGATGCCCCGAATCTTTCAGTATTTTTCAGGAAGAGCTGGTCCTGCATGGCCACGAAGGGTATTCGGATCCTCTTCTGAGCCTCTTCTTGGTGAGTGCAAGTCAACCCGATCCAGGCAGAGAGACTTGAGTCCTTCAGCCCATACGTATCTTATCATTACCCAGCAACATTGTTTCGTAGGCAGCACTGTCGGTGCGAGATAATGAATAATGAAGTTGGATGGTCAGGTTGTGCCCAGTCTTTGTCGTAGCTGTCTTTTCGGCTCGCTTGTGTAAAGTGCGACTGGACAGCATCTCTCCGTGTTCGCTTTAGTTACGTCCTTGGCATGTGGTTTTGCATCACAACGCGCCATAGCCACTATCCAGCTCCGGAGAAAACAACGAACGTGCTGCCTCGAGTCTGGAAGATCATGCGGTCCTCGGCATGTGTGTCTGAGGTCGACAAGCGGAGACCAACCCACAATTGGCGTTTTGAGCGGACTGGGGCAAGTCCTCTCGTAATGCGCTCAGTGACCCCGACTCTGTCGACCTTTGTCTTGACTGCATATGTGCGTGGTCTTGCACAGCGAGCTGCACAATACTGCTATAGCTGTCTTTCTTTGGATCATGCTGGTTCCATTCATGCTTGCCGAGCCTTCAGTCCACGGGGGTGTACGGCAACAGCCGACTTGCTAAGCTCTCGAACAGAGCGTCGGAGCGTTTGTGAGCCGATTCGTATCGTGTGACTTGTTCTCAGATGGGGGACCGCGCCCTCTGCAACGCAGCTCCAGCAAATCCTGGCGCTGATGACAAGGGCGTGCCTTAGCTGCAGGTATGATGCCTTTAATTTGTGCATAGCTCTGAACGCAACTTCTGCAAGACTTGCATGTAGACATGTTCGAGTCATGCTATCATCGAGCCGCACGGAACTGTGTGAATAGTCAGCTCCTGTCTTGCTCTGTCCATACTCAGCCATGAAAATTCTAGTGATTCTGGTGACTTACTGGACCGCTGTGTGGATCAGTTGCCGAGCTCTTGATTGACTGGGAATTTGTCTGAGCCCAAGCAGTCTTGCAGGTACTTTCGTGAGCCTGGCCAGGCAGGGCTGAGCCAAGACTCAGTGTTAGTTAGTTGAAAGATGTTGAACGTCTCTGCAGCCGTTGTTTCATGTTGTGCTCGCCGTTATGAGGCGTCTGTCGGCATCCCGGCAAGCTGGACCAAAATGTCGCCAGCCGTCTCAGCAAGAAGTCGTGTGGTGTCGTATGTCCTTCGGTGTGGTTCCTGTCACTTCAGGAAGTCTGGCTCCACTTGGTGTGCCCTACTGTGAGTTGTGAGCGATGAAGCGATGAGATTTTCCGGGGTCATTTGTTTCACCCGATGTGCAGAAGTCACCTCGAAGTCGCGCAGGCATTCCCAAGAGTCTTGTGAAGTTTGGAAAACGGCACCTTGGCAACCCACTCCAGTTTTCCACTGTGCTTACACAGTCCTGTCATGTCTCTTCACATCGCTCGGCCGGTTCAAAAGGCTGTGCTTATAATGTGACCTTGCCTTTTTCAACTCTTCGATGTGGTTTAGGTTGCAGCTTTGAGGATGCTAAGATGAAGTGCATTTGGATGGCTACGGCTATGACTAATTCGGAACAAATGTAGTGCTGGCAAATGGGTACCGTTGTTTGCAGCCGATGTTCTGACACAGGCAGGACATCAATGTAATGTCCTCAGGTCACTCAGATCGAATGGACGAAGCGAGAGTGTCCAGGTGACTCCGTGCCCAAACCATGGACAACTTGGACCTGGGGGGTCTTGACCTCATGTGCCTTTGTTACACCTTCGTGTTTGTCACTTTTGCATGCGCTGGGGAATGCCACCACGTGACCAAGCGCGGAGCCCCGTCAAGCCTTCCCTTGTGGCCAGATGTCGGCCTGCTGTATTGCGCGAGGATTGTCCGTTTAATAATTACCTGTACTATTTGGGGGTTCCTTCTTATAGGTATAGTATAATGGGCCCCAAAACCCTATTCTACTGTTCACAAAACCCGGGGACACGGCGCTGGCTTTTTGCGGAGTCTCACGGACAAAGACTTGCATTGCCTGGGCGACGAAGTGCTAGAAGTGTCCAAATCCCCAGACAAGAAGATGAAGTGTGATGCCGAAGATGAACTTGCCAATTCCACCGTGTGGGGATGGGGAAGACTGTCCGACATGCATCATGTACAGTACAGGTTGGAGATAATGTTTATAGCATAGTTTACGCCGGAACTTCGGATATTTCGGGACGTCCAATCCATTGGGGGTTTGGTCTGCGTCGTATGTGTGCCCATGCAGACGTGGGTGTGGCAGTGTCGAGCTTCAGGCTTGGGATCTCTTTGTCTTCGAAGATCAAAATAAAAGAGTCGTTTTTAAACGCGGGAGTCCCCGCGATGGGTTGTCACAGGCACGGTGTGGAAACACAGCAGTAACACCAGAAGCCGCACCGAGTGTTTGAAAATCAAACCAGGGCTCCAACGAGCAACTCTTTCTGAACTGTTCGCCGATGCGGATGCCCAGAGCATCCGACTCGCAAACATGGACAGGCATCTTGAGTACATATACCTGCTCGACCATCGGAACTTGGGGATGCAACAAAGCTTCAGTACTAGGCTTTTGGTCCCCACTGTCATATTGTGCCGCACGGCGCTCACCAACGCTGCTGTTGTGTGTGGGGCAGCGAGCTGCTTCAAAGTTGAGAGAATTCCCCAGGCGACCGAGGACGTAGTGTTCAGCGAGGACGGGCGGAAAGACCCTGCAGGCACTTGTAGACACTGTCGGCGCCGTTGACCACACGTTCTGCAAGGAGGATCTGGTTGTTGCCCGGGCGGCCACGGCAGCTGGCACGCTTTTGGATGGGCACTCAGACAAAAGCTGCAGACGAGTGTCGTTGACTCGCAAGGACAACAAGCGCCCATCGCACAGGAATTCAATAGATCGTGCAGCAAATCTTCAACCATTTCCCCGCCCGCTCTTGCCCTGAAAGCCTGCACTACAATCATGCTGACTTGCATACCTGTGTCATCAAGAGGCCTCTTGTCCACACAGTGGCTGAATGCGAAGCACAGCGTAAACTGTAATCAAAAGAGCTGGCCTGGCACCAGTTTCCAACCAAAGCTGCACACAAGCAATGCTGGAAGGGCTATCAAGCGCTGCGTAGTGAACGACACAGACGGCCTGATGTTTGTTTGGAGCTACTGGTAGTTCAGCATCTGGATTTTGTGTTTCATGCCGTTTCATGGCAGTTGTGATGTCAGGATCAGCTCCAAGGCAAGTGGGTTCGTCAGGCCAGACGGCAGTGCATCGTGCTCGGAGCCGTCTGGGCCAGTGGCTGTTGATCGAAGGATGGCTTCTTTATGGGCGTGCTCACGAACGGCCTGAACCTCTCGCCGTTGTGCCTTCCGTGTGCCGGCGGCCAGTTGCTGCGGACTTCGTGTGTGAGCTGAGGCCGCCTACGATGGGGTGAAGCCTTCCGAGGTGACTCTCAGAGTCTACTGGAAGAGGCCGGGCCCAACAAGGCCCGACATTCCGAGGCTGCAGATGATCACGTAAACCGGTAAATCGGATCCCACGGCCCATGATGTACGTGTGGAAGCTTTCCCGGCTTGGCTACCATTTTCATTATGGGTTTTCCTGGCATCTGTACCGCTATTTTGTGTCGCAAGGCTGCCTGAGCAATTGAGTCTATTGGCATCCATCGCGGCTTGGAGGTGCACCTCCGACTTGCCAATGAGATCCACGAAGGAAGTGTTTATGTAGGCGCGGGATGCATGTTCCCTTGCTTTCGGCACCCTACCTCCCGACAATTGGCTGACTCAGGCCGCCGCATGAGCATCCACTGGGCAGACGGTGCACCACAGCAATTGCTTTATGCTGTCGTGGTTTTGCAGGGGTACAGTGCCATTCGCAATCCTGTCAATCGATGTGTCTACTATCCAATTATGTTATGGCAGCGGCAAGAAGTTTAATCAATTGGCTCCGAGCTTGGCAGTACACGGCAGCCACGTAGGATTAACGAGCCAGTGAGTGGTTGCTGCTTACAGCTCCTCATTCTGCTTAACTTCCCTACTCAATTCGCTGCCAGGCGAGATCTGGTTCCTGGATGCATAAGCGGTATCCCGAAGCTGCTACAAGCGCAGTCCTTTAGAATGCAAGCTTAAATTCAAACTCGTGGAAAATATGGTGCGTGTTGCAGTGCTGGGGGCTTGCCTTTGGGATGTGATACGACGGGCTTGATTTCTGAAAGCTTGTGTCCACCTCGCCCAGTTCGGCTCCGCTGCAAGGGAGACGCGCGAAGTGTAGGTCCACAGGTGCTTGGCGTGCAGAGGCAAACTGTCTTGCACTGGCATGCTCAAGCTAAGAGCGAGAGTTGATCGACAAAAGAGAAAGCTGGTCTCTCATCGTCAGGCTGGAACCAATTTTCCCGCGCGCCCCTCGCAGACCGGCACAATGCAGGCTGCCTTGAATCTTGGTTCGTGAGCTGACCGAGTATTGATCGGTAGTGTCAGTAGTGTTGGCAACATATGAAGTACAGATGGAGCGCAGTCAGTCGACAGCTGCTGGTGCCAGGCTCAGATGGGGCGCTTCCCAGGACCAATCGCGTACTTGCAAAGCTTGCGATGCATTACTTGTGTTGAACGTCAGCCACATAGTCTATGTCACATTGTGGAGGATACGCTGGCTATGGCGGCGGCTATGCTGATGGATTTGGTGCTTATGCCGGGATGTACCCCCAGGCCGGGTGTGTAATTGCAGGAGCTGAGAGATGCCGAAGAAGAGGGGCGGGGTGGCACAACGGGCCCAACTAAATCTTCTCTTCTTCCGAGAACTTGTGGGGGAGTGGAGAGTGGAGCGACAGAGCCAGGGAGCCTTCGGAGTTCTATTTTCGTCGCGCCATCACTCAGTGATTCCCTGCAAGGCCAGCTCCACATGGGCCGGGGACTTTCTGTGCAAGTGAACTTCCGCTTGGGCATTTGTGAACCTCCGAGGTGCCGAACTTTGGAAAAGGCCATGACAGCACAGCGCCACCAGAGAGAGCGGAGTGGGCAGCAGTGTTTTTGACAGGAAAAGGCGAAGGCCGAGGTCGAGGCGGCGAGAGGAAGAGGAGTTTTTGGGATGCTCCTGCCCAGTTTCGCCCTCTCTCTCAGGCAGGGGAAAGGGCAAGGGAAAGGGCTACGGCTACAAAGGAGCTTCCTCCTTAGCCTGGCTCCGCGCAACTCTTGCAAATGGCACAACTGGCTTCTGATTCGGATCTCCGTTGTGCCAGAGGCCCGTGATTGGGACGAGAGCTTCAGCCTCAGAACTGTGTTTTGCGAGGTGGCGGCAGCCGGCCCAGCTGAGGTGATCCGCGTCGTCAGATAGAGCTTGCGCAGCTTCGAGCTCAGTGCATACGGTGCCTTAGACCAAGGTGCGTGTTGGGGAGATTTCGGTCAAGAGGGCCTCAGCGAGATGGCCATTGGACACCCAAAGCCCTCTTCGAACCGCACGTTTCGTGCGGCCGGGGGCCACCCTTCACACCACAAGCAACAAGAAGCGGGTCTTTCACGAGCTTTCATTTGCGGCAAGGTCTGGGGCAGTAGTCCACGGAGAAATATGACACAGGGTGGGTTCATGATGATTCACGGCACTGCTGCTGGTTCTTCTCTCCAGCAAGGCGTCGAGCTAAGCAGCGGGATCAGTCGGCCATCAGTCAGGCGAATCTGCCGTAGGGCGTAGAGCAGATCGGAGCTGTGCGAAGCCTGGAAGAGAGCTTTCCGACAGGCCCAGCGCTCGGCGCAGCTGCGTTTTGAGAAAGATCTGCTCGACAGGGTCCAGGCTCCGTGCCGTCGCATGCGTTGCAGTGGTGACTGTGACTCACCACTGCAGCATTCCAGGGGAGGTGGATTGACGAGGAAGACCCAAGTGTGACCTATGTCGTGGAGGCAGGTGCTCACGTGATCGTATGGTTACGACAGTTGCAAGTCCGTATTCAGGGTGGTATTTGTGCTGTTTCTGGCGGCGAAAACATACGGACCTTCCGAAATCGGCAGGGGCCCAATGTAAGCTGCAACCTTCAGAATCCGCGCCGTTGCTTAAATAGCGATTGCAAGAAATGCAGGTTGAGCGTCTACGGTGGCGAGCTTTGCTGGGACGCAAGAAGGCAGAAGTGCATGTTGGTGCACAATCCTGATGCCTCGACCGACGTGGTTGCACGCTGGCAGATTCTGGCACAACCTGAACTTCAGCGCTTTGCCTCCTCCGGAGGAGCAGGCTGCTGATCTGTAAATGGTTGCTCAGAGGACCTGCGAGCTGTTAGATCTCAAGCAGGTTTGAGAAGTGCACAAGCCTTAAGCCAGTAGAGCTGAAAGCTGAAATACGCCTCAGGTGAACAGAGTTGAGTGGAACCCAGCGCAGGTGCGTGGATGTGTACATGGTGTTGCTGCCTCCTGTTTGGCTGAAAAATCCTGGCAGGGATCTCCACCAACAAAGCAGATCATTTGGGCAGTACCCCCAGCAAAGAACTATCAAGAACTCGTTGCCGGCGCATGCGTTTGTTAGCCCATCAGAACACAGCATTGTCCGGCTCGTCAAGACTGGTCCTGTTATGGATTTACCACTGGTTGTAAATATCGCCCGTGAACGGAGAAGGGGCCCAGAGCTTCAACCATGGGTTTGGCAGGGGAATGCCTAAGCACCAAAGGCCATTCATCGAGGATGCTAGTCTTTGGTTTCCCCGTCTTCCCATACTAGACTAGAGCAGTACTAGAGAGAGTCTTAGACTCCTAGACAAAGTCCAGCGGCCAAGGTTCGGGCCCCTGACATTGAAGAGGCGGTTGGTGAGGGTGCGGAGGGGGACACCTTGGAGGCTGACTGGAGAGTCGCAGCTCAGACTTTGCAAGGGCCTGGCAAGCGCATGGAAACAGGCCTCCGGCGCCGATGGAAACGTCGGAGAAGCTGGCCAAGGCGATGAGGCATCGGAGGGAATAGATTAATAGATCGAGGAGTTGGCGAACATCACTTGCACAACTCGGCATCGCAGCAGATGGAGCGATCGGCCAGGTGCTCACTACGATTTGAGCCGACTTGTCTGATAGCCCTTTGAGTGGCGGCTGCAGGGAGCGCAATCCCCCCCAATCCATCCAAGGCAGGTGGCAAAACATTAATACAATGGTCTAGATTCTAGAGTGTGGAAGTCTCCAATATGCGGTGTGCACCTATGAAGTGATTGGGTAATTATTGGACAAGCACAGAGTCCGGGAGCCTGCCGGATTGCTTATGCTTTTCAACTTGAGGAGACGATTACTCCTTGAGCTACTGTCGTAAGGGAAAGGCTGATCAACATAAGTGGACAAGGCGAGCAAATTTGTGACAAAGGCTTTGCACCTCTCGAAGCCGTCCCACATGCACAGCTTGTCACTGTGCGTGCTTCGGTGTTGCTTCCGTGCCGCTGCAGTTTCACAATCCCAGACTTTGAGTCAAGCCAGTTCTCAGACATGATGCCACACAGGGAGCGGCAGCGCTCTTGAGCACATTCTTCTTACGTTACCGAATCATTTAAGGAAATGCAATGAAATGACATGCAATTACATGCCATTCACTCATTCACAGGTTCCCGATACAACTTCGCAGAACATTCTGACAGCGAGTCAGTGTGGGTTCGGATGGCGGAAGATGGCGGTACAGGCAGCAGCACTTGCAGTTGCATCGCAGCAGGAGCACTTTTGCATGATCTGAGGTTCTCCAGGTTGCCTCCTTACGTGCAGAAGTAGCTTTCTTTTTGCTTGGAAGCTCGCTGCATGCAAAAGTGCGCTGATATCACAAATGAACCTGTTTGACATGGGCATTGGCGGCACTGTAGAAGGCCATATTGGTCATTCTTACGAGCACAAGAAACAACACTGTACACAGGCCACACACAGCGCCTCCGAAGTTTCAACACTCCTTTGTTAACAGGGCGAGTAGATGAGCGATCCTGCCGTCGATCACCAGGCATAAGTTGACTTCATGCGATGGACGCCACTGACTTCTCGATTCGATATGGTTCGATACTGCTCTTCCGGCTCTTCCATTCAAGAGAGTCTGGTTCATTATCGTACAGCCACTGCGAGATGCTGCCCATGATCATCACTGCCGAAGTGAGGCTCTGCAGCTGCCCCCGCTTTCTCCACCTCGGCCGCGACCAATATTGTACCGGAAGTGTTGCACATGTCCATACAGGTGTTATATTGTTTGCTCCATGTGTAATTATCAATCTCTCCGGAACGTTGTCAAAGGTCCCAACAAGCACCGTCGCAGCGCTGGAGTCTGAATGCATCCTATACGGGGACCTGCATGAGTGCGCATGAAGTGCAGGATGCATGATGTTTCTCGTTTGGTAATCTTGGGTTCTCATGCAGCATGATGTGAACTGCGCGTCTCTCTGCCGTCTCCAATCGAAGTCCAGTGAGTGCGGCGCAGGTACGGCTTAAGTCTTGGCGTCGACTTGGAGAATGAGGACTACATGGAGCTAGTCCAGGAGGCCGCAAGACTTTTCAGCTGTTGAGAGATGCCCATACGGCTCTAGTGAGACTCTCAGTGGCTCTCAGAGTCTTCTGGCGAGGCATGGAACGCGCCGCTGCCAGCGAGTTGGACGGAGTACATGGATGAGCTGCCTGGAAGCAGTTCGAACCTTTTTGGACGTGGAATTTTTCACTAACGAGAGCAGGTTTGGGCTTGAAAAGGATTTGCTGAGGGCAGTCACGAGCTGCCAGGGGATGGCAGCAGTGGTAGTGAGGGTAACGGTGGGTGTACACAGGGAGTGTCCAAGTGGATTTAAGCAGATCACTTCACTGTGCGCCGTTCGCAATGGATCGCAAGGTCGGGACGTGCTTACTATGTGAAAGAAGGCAACGTCGGCCGACAAAGCATAGATCTATGCCAAATAGACTAAGTAGACCTGACTCTGACAGGGAGATTGCATCACTGCCAATGTGCACGCTTTGCCGCAAGGTGCGTGCTTGAGCCAGTTTCGCCTGCGTGTGTCTCAGGAGCAAGCAGCTCGACATGGGAGCACCCAGCAGACCAGATCTACCGCAACCTCATCGATTTAATCCGGAAGGCTTTTTGGCGTGGTAATCGTATATTTGTGGCGCAGTGTCTTGTCAAATCAAGTCGGCTAGCGGCTAGGATGCACGTTGGTTTTTGAGGATGCCTGTCAATTTTTGCGGCATTTTGCAGCGGCTGCAAAATTGCGTCTTTTCGCTGGAGATACATAAACGGCAACGGCACTTGCTGCACCCTGCCGTCCGTCATCGTCCGTCCGAGTGTATCTCGTTGGCAGGCCCGCGTTGAGGTCATGCCGCGCAGGCAGGAGATGGTCCGGGGCTTGGAAACCGGCAGTCTCCTGCAGCCACAACCTGTGAGATCCTGTGAGCACCGCTCCTTTGGAGGTTCGGGAACACCTGCGAGAGAGGCACGAGGCCGGGTCGCTTTGCCAGGCCCAGGCAGGCCCAGGCTTAAGCCGGCTTTCCTGTCGCAGGCTGCCAAAGCCGACCTTGCAGGCCGCGTGCCCGCACGTGGCTATGGAAGAGTCTTTGTCTGTGTGTGGCCAGGCTGGAGTGGACCATATGTGTCTGACCAGGGTGAGTACTACTACCACGACAGCTTGAAGGTAAACTCCTTGGAGCTCTTCGCAGCACGAACATGCACTTTTTCGTGTTGAGGAAGCGCGGAAGTGCAAACGTGCAGGTCAGCGCCTGGAACAGTCCCATTGCGGAGTGGGAGCACGAACTGGAAACACGCCATGCCGTACTGCAGAGGCCCCATGCCAAAGTCATGCCGAGTCATGTGATACTCCTACTAGTAGGAAGCATGAAGCAGAGATGTCGATGCTCTTCGAAAGCGGGGTGCAGGTACCTTCTGTCGGAGCTGCAGGAGGGCAGAGTGATGTTGCTTTTGACCTTGCTCGTTTGTAGCTGCAAGATGCCCTGTCGAGGTAACACCCAGTGGCGAAGCTCCCCAGCGGCGCCGAGTGCCAAGTCCGAGTCTCACCAGAAGTTGGCTGCACAGTACCGATGTTCTCAGGTCCAGACATGCTCCAGGCCGTCCAAGCTGCTTCCAAGAACTGATCGCCGAAGGCTCTTAAGTCGGATCGTAGGTGCTGAGACTGGAGCTGGGCAACTTGCGGAAGGACCTGAAGTGTCTTGAAGTCGCTTTTGGGAAGGGGGAAGGTGGGCATGTTGAGGTTTTCCTGTTGCCCCAGCATCTCTGCATGCAGGACCTGTGTGAGGTTCCAGAACCCTCGACGTGCCGCTCGTATCACACGGCCTGGCGCAGGGATATCCAGGGTGAAGCCAGTCGCATTGTAGGGCCTAGGGCCTAGGGCCTAGTTAGCCGACGAAGATGTGTGGACAGCACGGAGGCGCGATCGGGTACTTCTTCTCGGTCCGGGTTCATCTCTGAGCTGTGCGAGCATCCATGCATCCTTTTACAAAACTGCTGTGGGTCCGTCTGAATGCGCACGCGTACCTTCAGGGCCATATCACCCCTCCCGAGAGGCTCGTCTAAGCAAGGGCCACATCACAGGATCAGGACAGAACTTTCTGGAATGAAACGACGGTTCATGTCGACGGTTTCTGAATCGGCATCTTCATCGCTGTGTCATGAGGCGATCCAAGCACAGCCTCGGAGACAAGGAGCGGCGCAAGGAGAGGAAGCGCCATGGATGCAGGAATGCTTGCAGAGACCTGCTAGCTGCTAGCTGCTAGCTGGTAGGTGCATGCTTGAAAAGGCGACTGTGTTTGGTGTAAGTGTAGTTTAGTTAGCCCCAAAGGGGCCACGGTTTGTGAGCATGTCCGGATATGGATCTATCACAGCCTACTGCACGATCTAATTTTTTTTCGAGTGCTGCTGTTGTCCAGGCAGCTGTTGAGAAGCCTGCATGTGCCACCAAGGAGCAAGAAAGAAGATGACGAAGGACCCTGTGCAGCCGGTACGTTTCATCTTGCTGGCCGAGTGCTGTTCATCACAATTGCCAGGCAGAGATCGTCGGCGTGTTCTGGGTGATGTTCCGGAAGGCGTGCTGCCAAGCTGCCAGAACGATGTTCTGATATAGCTCAGATGTCATGATATTCTTCAACCTTTCGAAGTGCCTGAGGAAAGGAGGGCCTTTTCTTGCAGGCATCATTTTTTTGCCCCTGTGGCCATTGTTTGTTTTTGTTTTGGGTGGCGTTCTTGTGTTATAGTAAGGAGTAGTGGGGTGGTGGTGGTGGTGGTGGTAGTAGTAGTTGTTGTTGTCGTCGTTGTTGCTGTAGTTGCTGTTGTTGTAGTGGTAGTGGTGGTGGTAGTAGTAGTAGTGGTAGTGGTAGTGGTAGTGGTAGTGGTAGTGGTATTAGTAGTAGTAGTAGTAGTAGTAGTAGTAGTAGTAGTAGAAGTAGACGTAGACGTAGAAGTAGAAG